CGCCAGCCAGAACAAGCAGAACATCCGAGGGTACCCTCCCCAGGGTGCACAAGAACATCCAACAAGCACGAAGAAGATGAGGGTAGCCTCCCCGAACCGACCTCGATCTTATACCTGGGTCCGACTGTATCTGGACCTTTGGGGCCTCCTTGCTGGGCCCATCGGGGTCCAACTTCGCGCTTCCCTCGGCGTAGGTTAGGGCGCCCCAGGCCCGCTTTCCGCGGCTTCAGGGTCCTGTTGCCGCTGAGCTGTCTTTCTGGTGGGGGGCGAAGGGGGAAGTCACCATGGGCTGGCCCCGCCCCGTATCAACAGAGTCCCTCAGAGCCCCTCCTCCTCGTTCTTGTGTGCCTCCTTGGCATCGGGCATCATGACACATGCATGCCCCCCCCGCGCCCTCGGCACTTCTTGCCTCCCGAGGGCGCTATGCAGGAGTGCTCTCCACGTCGTCATCCTCCTTGTCCTCCGTCTTCCTCTCCCTCCCTGTGTTACTGTGTACTGCAATCCTTAGGTGCCCGTGCGATCCTGCATTGTCAGATGCATCGCTAGCCGCAGCGCCACCGTAACTCGACAGGCTAGTTGCCTCAACGAGCAGGCAATCCAAAATCCTTGCCCTTCTCCTGATCCTCCTGATCGTCCATCTGGTCGTCGGTCGGTCCGTCGGTCGATGAGGGCGGAGCCTGGAAGCTCAAACCATGGTGACACGCGCAATTGTTGGCTCCCTCCTCAGATTGCGCCTAAGCACGCGCACGGCAACGAGGACCCACAAGTCACCTGCTCTGCACGAGGGCACCCCAGAAACGGACTCGTGAGCTGAGCTCGACAATGCACACATCATCCTCCCCCTCCTCGCCATAAAAATTCGTGCGTTCCGCTGAAGCTTCCAATCCAGGGTTGCACCGCACACTTTGACAAGACGAGATGCTGCTTAGAACTTCTGTGCCGAGTGGAAATACGGTGACGTTCATACCCTGGGGTTCGCCGAATCTGCATTGCGATGGCCGCATGGCCAACGACATCTCATACTATGAGCTCTTCAGAAGCAGCCCTCCGTAATTGCCCAAATAGGGCCCCAAAGAACGCCATACATGAAGAGCCCCAGAGAGCCTCCACAGGGCCCCAAAGACTTCCAAACATCCCATGATAGCCCCGATAGAGCTCCACCACGCCTCTCAGAGGCCCATTCGTGTTGACCCCACCATCGTTTGGAGTCAAGTGCCTCTCTCTTTGTGTTCACTGACGCCTCACAACTTCCTGTTTCATGGCAAATTGTTGATGCACCCCTGCGGGATCAGTGCCGTAATATCCCTGGCCAATTCGGCTGGGCTACTCAGCTGGCCAATTCGGCTGGCTACTCAGTTCGCGGGTCGCTACCACCTCAAGACCGAGTTGATCAACATGGTTCCAATCTGGCCCAATAGAGCGCGTTTCTTTATTCACGGCGATACCGGGCGTCATTGGGGGGGCGGGGCGGGGAAGGGGGGGGGCATAACGCAACGCCTCCCCCGCCGTGCGGTTCCGGCGCCACCACAGCATCCCCGCGCACGACGACGACGAGGAGGACGACGACCACGACGACGAGCAACCCCGACGACGACGACTACGACAACGACGAGCGACCACGACGACGACAACAACGACGACGACGAGCGACGACGACGACGACAACAACGACGACGACGAGCGACGACGACGACGAGCGACGATGACGACGACGACGACGACGACGACGACGACGACGACGACGACGACGACGACGAGCGACGACGAGCGACGACGACGAGCGACGACGACGACGACGACGACGACGACGGCGACGAGCGACGCCTCTGGAGGTCTCGGGAGGTTTCCCGAGGCCTCTGGAGGCCTCCTGAGGCCTCTGGAAGCATCCAGAGGCCTTCCGCAGGTCATCCGAAGGCCTCCAAAGGCCCTCGAAAGCATTCGAAGGCCCTTAACAACGACGAGCAACCTCGAGCAATGACGACCGACGACAACGACGACGACGACGATTGAAATGACGATAACGACGACGACGAGCGACGAGCGACGACGACGACGACGACGACCGACAACGAAGAGCGACGACGACGACGACGACGACGACGACGACGACGACGACGACGACGACGACGACGACGACCGACAACGAAAAGCGACGAGGGGTTGTGGCGAGCACGTGCCTGCGAAGGCGTCGTTGCCGCCACGTGGCGTATAATAGGTATACTTCTTACCTCCCTCCTCTATCGTCGTCGTCGTCATCGTCGTCGTCCTTCTCCTCCTATTGCTCTCTCTTACGAACACCACAAGCGCCTGAGAGCACCGCAATCTGCCTGCGACCGCCACCACTACGCGGATCTCTATGCGGATCCCTATGAGGACCCCCGGGGATCCCTGTGCGCATCCCTAGTTATGCAGATCCCTATGCGGATGCCTATGCGGATCCCTATTCGGATGCCAATGCGGATGCCAATGCGGATGCCTATGCGAATGGCCATGCGAATCCTTATGCGGATCCCTATGCGGATCCCTATGCGGATCCCTATGCGGATACCTCTGGGGATCCCTATGCGGATCCCCACATGGATCTGTACGTGGATCCCTAGACAGATCCCTATGGGGATCTCTATGAAGTATCACAGGGAATCTCAACGCGGATCCCTGCGGATCCCGATGGATATCTCTATGCGATCCCCATGCGGATTTCTGTGCGGATGCCAATGCGGATGCCTATTCGGGTTCCTATGTGGATCCCTGTGCGCACGGCGGCAATGCCGGGGGCGCACTGGGGGCCGGAGCGCTACGTTACGGGGTGGGGGGGCGGGGGGGGCATAACGCGCGTTATGGCCCAAGCAATGAAGAAACAGGCTCATGCTGCCTCAATCTGGCTCCGAGATGGCCCCAGATGCCCCACGGTAGCCTCCAATGTGGCACAATCCAGCCCAACATGGCTCACCATAGCTTCCAATGTGACTCAATACCGCCCCAAACCGGCTCTAAATGGCCACGGAGCCTCCCAATGAGGCCCCAGGGAGACCAACATCAGTCGAAAACGCAAGGAAACCACATGAATTGTGCCTTCTCGCCTTTTCGCTGCTGACGGGCCTCTGAAGCCTCGATTTGCATCGAAGAAGACGGGGAACCTCAGGACGCCGTTCCCAGACGGCCGTTTCGCTGGAGACTGCCTCACCATTCATTCAGGAATCGGCTGCACGCAAGAGTGACCCCGGGTAAGAGTGACCTCTGGTGCGCGGCTTTTTGGGGGCCGCGGGGAGACCAGACACAGGTGCGCAAGACGCTGCTGTCGCATCGCGCTCGGCGATCGGGGGACCCCAATGGGTCCGCACCAAAGGCCACTCCGGCGAAGGGTCACCCTTACGTGCATTCGAAGGAATCGCACTGCCGCCTCAGTGCCGGCCAGATGTTTGGTCCAGACGGCCACGACCCCGTGTAGAACAACAGAAAAACATTGCTCAAGAACATGAGACCCTCCGCCCGCCAACACACACACAACACATCCGAGGTACCCTCCCCATGATGCACAAGAGCATCCAGCAGCACGAAGAACTTTAGGGTATCTTCCCCGAACCGGCCTCGATCTTATACGTCGGTCCGACTGAATACAGGAATCCTGCTGCCGCCTCAATGCCGGCTACATGTTCGGTCCGGACGGCCACGCTCCCTGTTACGTTACGTTACAATACGTTCGGGTCCGATCGAACAGGATTCGGCCTCCATGCGGGGCACGGACTGAAGCTGGAAACATGTGCGTTCGGGCATCGTTGCATGAGGGAAGAGAAGAGGAAGAGGAGGAGGAGGAGGAGAAGGAGGAGGAGGAGGAGGTTGAGGAGGAGGAGGAGGAGGAGGAGGGAGGAGGAGGAGGAGGAGGGGGCGGGGGAGGAGGGAGGAGGAGGAGGAGGAGGAGGAGGAGAGGAGGAGGAGAGGAGGAGGAGGGGAGGGGTAGGAGGAGGAGGAGGAGGAGGAGGAGGAGGAGGAGGAGAAGAAGGAGGAGGAGGAGAAGAAGGAAGACATAACGCAACAGACCGGGCATTGTGTTCGCCTACCGTAGAACAGGGAAGAATAAAGAGAAAAAGGGAAAGATAGCGAGAAGCGCCGAAACGAGAAAAAAACGCCGAAACGAGAACATGAGCTTGCCATCACGGCGCACACGGCCGCGCCTCTCTCGCCCGTGTCCCCTGGCAGCCGGCGCAGGGTGCCTTGCTGGGATACTTTGCATGGTCTTAGCGACCCCGACGTGCAACACGCAGCACGTAGCGTATTGATTTTACTAAGCACTAAAAATGATGCTGCGCGTCTTCGCACGCATTCCTGGCAGACCGACGGGGCCGGGCAGAAAACGGAAACGGGCCGGGCAAACGGATGGGGCCTGGCAACACGTAGCGTATTGATACGGAGCTCAACACGTAGACTGAACTCGTAGGTCTGACGCTACGATCGCCAACACGTGGTCCAAACAGTGGAGCCAACACGCAACGTGTTGACACGGACGTCTTGAACACGGGACGTGTTGCGTTTCAAAATGGGCGTATCGAGGCAACTGAGTGCATGATGCTTGAGGTCTTGGCCTTCCCCTCAGACTCGCCCCCCTGACTTCTGCTGGGGTGCCAGAACTTCGGAGCGACTCTGGCCGTGGCAGCGAGAACTCCGCAGGATCTCATTCAAACGTGCAGGAAAACTTCAAGTCCTTACCTCGACGAGGAAGAGGAGGAGGAGAAGGATGGGGAGGGCGAGGGGGAGGAGGAGGAGGAGGAGGAGGAGGAAGAGGAGGAGGAGAAGGAGGAGGAGTAGAAGGAGGAGGAGGAGGAGGAGAAGGAGAGGAGGAGGAGGAGGGAGGAGGAGGGAGGAGGAGGAGGAGGAGGAGGAGGAGGAGGAGAGAGGAGGAGGAGGAGGGGAGGAGGAGGGAGGAGGAGGGGAGGAGGAGGAGGAGGAGGAGGAGGAGGAGGAGGAGGAGGAGGAGGAGGAGGAGGGGACCGCCCCGCCCCCGCGTCTGATAGTACGCGTCGGCCACGTTCGTGGGCCTCTCGGGCTCGCGCCTCCGCAGTCCCGCCGCGGCCCTTCGGGGGAGAGCCCCCGAACCTCTCCCCGCGACTTGTTCATTCTGCGGGGAAGGGTGGGAGCGGACAGCATGCTAGCAGAGCTGGCGCCATCACCTCTGCCCACGCCCTGCTGCAGTGCAGCGCTCGTCGACACCGACGTCTCGCCTCCGATGCGATCTTCGGCGGCACGCAGGGAGGGGGGCCGGGCGCGGGGGGTGGCCTTCTGGGACGGCAGGGGGCCTCCGAGGAGGGACCGTTCCCTTCTGAGGAGGCCTCTTGGGAGGCAGGAGGGTCTGCAAGACACTTGGGGGGGGGGTCTCAGAAAAACATCCTTTCGCCCCGCCCCCTCGTGCGCGCCGCCCAGACCAGACTGGCCTCCTTTCCCGACATCGCTGTTCGCCGATCCGCCTGATGGCACTCGCGCCCAATAGCATGACAACCCTCGTCTGGCGAACATTTCTCTGATACGTCTCGTTTTGGATTGTGGTGAGACGCGCTGGGCTTATCGAGCAAGACACGGCTTCCCGGTAACGCCGTACATCCACCGCTCATCAATTCATCATGCTGTCTTGCATACGTGTGTAGTGCTGCTTGTTAACACAAGAAATAAACGCCCATTCCCGACCACAAGACAAGCATCGTTCCAGGCTTACAAGCTTTTCGGTGTGGCGTACTTCTCCAAATGCAGTGACGCCAATGAACATCGAAATCCGTGTCAACCGGGTATCACAACGTGTTCCCAGGCATCCCCAGCACATGTAGTTGTGCCCTTTGTTCTTCACCATTTCCCACAACTGACAGCGCATGCATGATCCTCTGCAGATCCACCCTTCCCTCTCACCGTCTAGCCCCTCTCAATTAAAGCCAGATGTCGGACTATGGCCAGAAGCAGCATCGACCATGCCTGGATCCCAGAGAACTTCTACCAGCACACAAACACGGGTCAGACATCACAGGCAGAGGTGACGCGCACCCGCGCTGAATGCTACACCCTCCCTTCCGCATAGCCGCAGGTGCGTTAGTCTGTGCTGGCGGCAGCTGGCCTTTGCGCTGCCCTCCAGCTCTCAGGACTGCAAGCACGTTGCCAACGGTATACGCGTCTCGTTACTCTGGCAAACTGATATAGACGGCAACGGGAGCTGCAATGACGGGGACGCGCGTGGAAAACTAGTAACATCGAATGCGCGCGAAGGCATGGTAAATGATCGGCAAACGACATGCCACACGTGTGATAGCACGGCGTCCTCACGAGCGAGGCAAGTTCAATTGCACACTGCACGTGAACACAGAGAACCTCTAAGTGGCAAGGACAAGCCGAAGGGCCACTTGGATGGAGCGAAGAAGCAGGCATCCACCGACCCCCGCTTGCTGGGGGTGAGAAGGTGTGTGGGATGATCGGATGTCCCCCTCCCGATTTCCCCCTCCTCTGGGGCCAACAATGCAGATGTCCCCCTCCCGACTTCCCCCCTCGCGACTTCCCTCTCCCCTGGGTCCCCCCATTTTCCCCCCTCCCCCTGGGACCAGCGCGTGTATCTGGAGGGAGGGGGAGGGGCCCGGGGGCGGGGTGGGGGGCGCTGGGGAGGGGCCCGGGGGCGGGGGCGCCCGGGGGCGGGGTGGAGGCACGAGCTCGTCAATGCACCCAAGGGGCTCTCCGGAGTCTCCGAGCCCAGACCCCCCCGTCGACTCATGAGAAACTCACGACGGAAGGCTTTCCGCTATTTTCGGCCTCTGGGGGGGGGGCCCTTTCGGGGTCTCGGGACCGCCAAAAGACGACTCAGGATTAAAAATTATCCTGGGGAATGGGTCGAGACCTGTTGGGGTCGACGTCATGAAACAAATCATGACGTCGGGGGTCTGGGAGGAGCCCCAAAACAGCCCAATGAGCGCCGAGATAACCCAAGAGAGCGTCGAGACGACCCAAGAAAACCCCGCGACGGTCCAAGATGGCTACAAGTCGGTCTACGAGGCCCCGACAACGGCCCAGGAGTGCTCCCAGAGGGCCACCAGGGATGGCCCCAAGAGGCAAACAATGATCCTTTGGTGAAATGTAGATTTTGACATACGCGCCATCTTGGAAGCGTCCACTACGGCCCAAGGAGCCCCCGAGATCGTCCCAAGATGGACCATGAGGCCCCCAAGAGGGCCCAAGACGGCACAATAGAGCCTGAAGAGGGCCCCAGAAGCCCCTCAAGAAGCCCCCTCGATGCCCCCCAAAGGCCCCAAAGCCAATCAGATGCCCCCATAGAGTCCTTCAAGAGGCACCTGAGAGGCATCCCAGGAGACCCTCATGTGCATCCCCGAGGCGCGGGACCCACAGGCCAGGCACGGTGGCACGACTCTTGACGAATTCACTATCATGGGGGTCGGCGAAATTGCGTAAGCCTTTGGGATATGGCGGATTGCCGAAACCGTGAACCCGAACACGTTTTCGTCTCTTGGGGGGCGCATCTTTTTCTTCCGCCGCCTTCCGCCGGCTTCCGCAGGCGGGGGCGGCCTCATTTTGCTTTCGCGGACCTTCCGCCGCCCTTCCGTCGAGGAAGAGATGACAGCTCCTTCTATCCTCGAAGGCAAGGCCATGTTTGGAATGCCCCATATCAGCACATACGCTTTCAGCAAGACTGCTGCGCCTTCGTGAGAATCGCTAGATGTATGCCGACGCTGAGGCAATTCGTCCCGCGCGCACTATCTTTGCTACTTGTTCCCTGCCTCCTCCCTTGTCTCGTGCTCCTGGTGCAGGTAGCGCCTGGGCGGGCTTCCCATCTACTATCGAACCGCTGTCATAAGGAAACCTCAATACGGAACGAGGTTCCTGTTTTCCATACGTTAAACTGCGACTTCCCATACAAATCTTAAGAAACCCCTAAGACAAACTGCACCCTTTGCATGGCGAAGGGCCCAACCATATGCAGTTGTGAGCACCGTCGCTGTATGCACCGCATTCGGTGGGGCTCCCTATGGGGTTACCAAACGTGTGAGAGGTGTGCCGAAATGGGTGCGGTGGTGCCATGCGAACGCAGCCACTTGGGCCTTCGGTGGGGCTCCCTATGGGGCCACGAAACGTGTGGGGGGCGTGCCGAGATGGGTGCGGTGGTGCCATGCGAACGCAGCCACTTCTCGGTCTCGCCTGCTAGAGGCAGAGGAGCCGCGTTCCTTGCACCATGTAGGCGCGGTCCTGTCATCCTCGTGTAGCCCACTCGAAGCGGCTCTTCGGAGAGGGTATCCTCCTATTTCTCCTCCCGTCTCTCTCCGTCCTCCCTCTTCCCTCCTGCCTCCTTTCTCATTATTCCTTTTCCCTTCTTCCTTCATCCTCCTTCTCCTCTCCCATCCATTCGTCAGACACGTCGCTTCAGACCATCAGGCGGGAACGGGAGGAACGGATGGGGCGGTAGGTGGAGCACATGGAAGAGAACGGTGCATTCCAAATAGCAACTGGCCCCCAAACGTACAAACAAACCTCCCTCCAAGTCCTTCTTCCCTTGGGCCTGCAGCAGGGCCGTGCTTCCAACGTCCCCCTGCCTCCTTCCCGCCTCCTTTTCCTCCTTTTCCTCCACGTGGCTCCGCCTGCCTCCATTTGCCCCAACATCCTCCTCGTATTTTTTGACGTTCGGCAAGCATGAGGCGTGGCCGCTGTGAAATGGGAGAGAGCAATGAGAAGCACGTGATCGAGAGCCATCACAGTTCTGCGGCCTCTGAAACGTACTTCAGGCTATGTCTCGATCGCTGGCGCCCGATGCCCACCTGAGGGCTGGTCACCGCGCTGCCACCGACACGCCAAAATGGCTTGACGCGCAGTTGCTTCAATCTCCTCCTCCTCCTCCTCCGCCTCCTTTCGTTAAGGGCTTGACGACTTCTGACGTCCCTCGACTCGCGCTTGACTGGTCGCGATTTGCTCCAACTTTCCCTTGAGATCTCTGGATGTACCTGCATCTACTTCGATATACCTGGGTTTGCCTCGATTGACCTGCATTTACGCCTTGCTTTATATCTGGCTCGATCCCCACGAGTCGATTGGCGAAACGTCGCCAAGCCCTTTGAGGATCCCTTCGACAGTGGCGACGACGACGACGACTCCGACCTCCACGCCGCTGCCCAAGCCGCCGAGCGGCCGCCCGAGGGCCTCCGACGGCCGCCCGAGGGGCCGCCGGGAGAAGCCGGGAGCCGCTGCGGGCCGTGGCCCCGCGGTGCGGCCCTGGCGCTGCGGGCGCACGTTCGATCCGCCGGGTCTCCGCCCCTCCGGGGGGGCAAGGAACGCGGGGGGGCCCGGGGGGGTAGGGGGGGGGGAAGCATCGACCTGGAATACGGGAGGGACTGGCGTAGGGGGGGGGGACTGGCGTATAGGGGAGGGACTGGCGCAGGGGCAACGGTAGGGGGGGACTTGGGGGAACAAGAAATGACATACGTAAACAGAAAAACTCGGAGGTCCGCGCGGATTTCTCCGATCGGCGCTGGACCCCCCTCGCTGGCGCGCGGAGCGCGCCAGGGGCGGCGCTGGAGGCGCCGCCAAGGGGGCCCCAACACCAATCCGAGGAATCCGTGTGGACCACCGAGCTTATATGTTTAAGTCATTGTTTCTTCCCCTAGGACTGGCAAAGGGGGGGAAGTATCGACCTGGAATCGGCGATACATCGCTGATAGATTGGCAATCGGCCCCCGATAGCGAATCCGCACGTGGCTGGGCAGGTGGGGGCTATCGAGCCCCTTTCGGCGATCAATGGGCGATTGGGGGTCGATGCATCCCCCTGTGCCTATCCTCCCCTATCGTTGCCCCTGAACCTTCCTGGCCGCCGACTTGCGTGTCGAAACGCGTGCCAGGCGCATGTTGGATAGCTCACTTTGGCGCCCACAGGCGTAAAAATACGTGCCAATTGCACGCTGGCGCGCATGTTGGATACCTCCCTGAGCGCTTACCCCTCTCGCGCAGGTGTTTTCACGCGTGGGGAATCCGCTGGCCACTCCGACGCACCTTGCCTTACACCCCTCCGGTCTATGACCAAATGCTCTTCCCATTTGCGCCTGCACACGTATACACTCGCCAAATACCTACGCGCAAATGTATCTTCCATGGGTGCGCAAACTTGCGCCCCATGCTTTATACATATCCCCTGGCAGCTACACACGTGAACAGACGTGCCAGATACACACAGCCAGACGCATGTTAATTGCACGTGGGAGCAATCCAGCGCCCTGTATATTGGCTATCCCCCCCTCCATGTTCGTTACCCTAGTTTGCGCATGCACACTTGAAAACACGCGCACAATGCAATCTTCACGCGCCAGACGCGCGTTCGATACTCCCCGCTGCGCCCGTCTTTGGGCGTGCGAATAACCCGGTGCCTCCATGTTGGATATCCTGCTTGGCGCATACACGCGTGAAAATACGTGCCAAATGCGCACGCGCCAGACGCTTGTTCGATACGCTCCCTCCGCAAACGGTCTTTTTCACGCGTGAAGAATCTGGCGCGCCCACGTTCGATACCGCCTTTGGTGCCACCCGCACGTGAGAATACGTACCAATTGCACATGCGCCAGACGCATGATCGATACCGATCTTCCGTACACGAACTTCTGTGTGTGTGAGCAATCTGGCGCCCCCATCTTCGAAACGCCCCTTGGCGACAACTCGCGTGAAACACATCCCAAATAACACGCACCAGACGGATGTCCGATACCTCCCCATCCGAACGCGTAACTCAGCGCGTGAACTCACCCCTCCTCCCCACACACCTTTGTACACATAGAAAAATCTGGCGCCCCCATGGTCGACACACCCCTTGGCGCTTACACGGGTCATGCCAAATGTGCACGCAGCAAACTCATGTTTGCTACCCACTTCCGCACACTTATCTTGTGCGGCTGAAGAATAAATCCGCCGGCCCCTTCAATGCACTCCTCTTGTCTAGGGCCAAGAGCCAGATCACACAAAGAGAACACTGGGCGCACGTCCTTACGATCCTGCTTCCCCGAACTCCGACGTACGGTAATTTCCAGAGCGAGGAGCTCTCGACCCCTCCCGTGGACAGGCACTCCGACCTGGAATTTGTTTTTTTGAGCAGAGACCGACCGTCAATGAATTCCTATAGGCCTACCAGGGAATGTTCTTAGAACGGCACGCTGTTGTAGTAACACAAATGAGCCCGACGCGATCCCAGTTAGGGGAAAGCTTCCTATTGCGTGGGCACAGTGTTCGGCATTGCTTCGCATTGCTTGGAGTTGCTTGGCATTGCTTGGCTTTGCTTGGCATTGCTTCGTGTTGCTTGGCATTTCTTCGCATTGCCTTACATTGCTTGGCATTGCTGAGAATAGTATGCTCCAGGGGGGGGAGGAGAACCCGAGGAACCCGGGGGACCAAGGAACCTCCGAGGAACGGGCAACGTAACACTATGAGGCACCAGGCGCGGGGAACCCGAGGAACCAGGGGAACCCGAGGAACCGCCGGGCAACGGGCAAAGTAACAATAGGAGGCACTGGGGACGAGGAACCCGAGAAACCCGAAGAACCCGAGGAACCTCCGAGCAATGGGCAAAGTAACAATAGGAGGCGCCAACCTTCAACCAAGTAAGAACCCCTTAGGCAAGCCTGGTTGGGGAACAAAGTTCTGAGAACATCAACTCGATGTGTTAAAACACATCCGTCTCAGCAAGACATGTTCTGAGAACACTTCGCGCAAACCACTACAGGTTCTCGTAACACTCTTTGGTGGGGCTACAGGCAAGCCATGGCGCTTCACCACTGCCTTGAGTCTTGGTGGTCGCAAAACCCGAGGGCCGAACATCGAGAAAAGAGCCCCGACCTGGATGCTTCCACAGGCCTCGAGGCCCAGGGGGGGCGTCCAAGGCCGAGGCGCGGGCCGGGTCGGACGAAACGGGGGGTCGGCCAAGAGGGAGTTGGCGAACCAGCACACGTACAGCCGAGCATCTGATCAAGAGCATTTTCGTTTAAGAAAGATGTGCCAGCTTCCAAGAGGTTTCTTAGAACGAACCTGGGTCAACTTCTGCCATTCACGCTGGAGGGCTATAGAGGCCTCCCAGATGGGGGTCGAGTCGAATCGCGCCGCATCGCCGATGCATCGGCGATGCATCGGCGATGCATCGACGGGGGAATTAGCACATCAGCTCATGTAATTAGCTGGTTTCCTCAGCGCCTCCCAGAGGCCAGGCGGCGCCAACGTATCAAGGAAAGAGCCCGTCGGCGGAGCCGAACCCAGTTGCTTGCAGTAGATTTCGTCCCCTCTCGATTCCCAATCCCCCCTCCCCCCCCCCTGGAGCTTCACTTCTTGCATCAGCTCGCCTCGCTTCGCGCCTGTGCGCCCTCCTCGCCGTGATCCCGCAAGGCTGGGCGTCTTGGGCCGGACGCCGAGCGAGCGCTGGGCCTGGGAACTGAGGGCTCTGGCCCTTTTGCAAGTGGCCGCTAGCGCGCCGCGCGACGAACTCCTCTCAGCCTCCGTCCAGCCCGATGGGATGGGGACGTCCCAGGCCGAGGCCCAGGGGGGGCCTAAGACGAAGCCAGGACGAGGATAACATCGGATGAGGACACATCGAGAATCCCTGAGATCTGGCGGCTCTGGAGGACGTATCGGGCGCCGCGGCCTCCTCAGATCGTTCTGGAACGCTCCGAGAGCGTCCCGGAGCGCCCTGAAACGGCTTTGTCCTCGTCCTAGCCCCGTCCGAGGGCCGCCCGGCCAGCCGCCCCCCCGGCCGCCCCCCCGGCCGACCCCTCGCAGCAGCGCACCACCCGGAGCCGCCAGGCCAACCGCCCCCCGCCGCGCCTTCGGAGGGCAGCCGCCCGGATGCGCCCGGCGGGGCGGGGGCCGCGGCCGCCGGGTGCGCGCCGAGAGGCGTGGCCTGCGAGAGCCGTCGGGCAGCACGCCGCCAGCCACCGTCGCCGCCGCCACCGCCGCCGCCGCTGGCGCCGCTGCCGCCGCCGTCGTCGTCCTCCTCCGCCTGACGCTGACGGTGCAGGCATAGACGTCGACAGCTTCGACGTTGCCATCCCCGCCCCCCGTGGGGGGGACGGTCGCCCCCGTGGGGGGTTGACCAAACCAGGTGCGCTGTATGGAGCAAGCAAGAGACCATGCGCACACGGACCCCCCAAGGGGGCGGAGTAGCTAAGTCTCCTCCTCCTCCTCCTCCTCCTCCTCCTCCTCCTCCTCCTCCTCCTCTTCCTCCTCCTCCTGCACCTCTCCCCTGCTCCTGCTCCTGCTCGCGGCTCTGGCCAGGGTCCTGACCCAGGGTCCCGGTCCCGCTGCCGCTCCTCGCGCGGCACCTCTCCGCTCCCGACGCTCGCCCAGCCCAGTGCTCCCGCTGTGGCCCCCGCTCCCTGTGCTCCTGCCGCTCCTGCCCCACCTCTCCTCCCCGTGAGTGGCTCCTCCCCGTCGCACCCCCTAGTCGGGGGGCATGGAGGTGGGGTATGGGGCAGAGGTGGGGTGAGAGTGAAATCGCTGAGAAACGAGCCGTGTGAGAAGGACATGTGCAATCCAGCTGGGTGTGTTCCCAGACCCCTCCTTGGGATAACCCCACCTCTACGACCCCCCGACCCAAGCGTGTTTGATGGGTCGGCCAGGCGCTTCCCCGGGGACTTCCTCGCCGTGTATGACCCCGAGGCTGGACATTGGAAGCACCTTCTTAAGGATGGAGGGCTGGTGGCTTTCAAACGGGGGCTCTCGCCTGAGCGCCGCGCGCATTCGTCTTGAAAGGCTGCGACAGCTGCAATGATGGAGCGCACGTGGCCTTCAGAATTGGGGCTCTCGCATTATCGCCGCGCGCATTCATTTTGAAGTTTGCAAGAGCTTCAAGGATTGCGGGCGATTCCTTTTCAAAGTGGAGCTCTCGCCATAGCGCCGCGACCATGTGTCTTCAACGCTTGCAGCAATCAGATGGGGTTGTAAGACTATGCCTTTTTCAGGATGGGGCGTTCGTTTGGGACTCCTTTGCGTAGAACGAACATGAGCTTGACCATTTGCTGCAGCTGCACGGTTGGAGGTCGCTTCCTTTCCAAAACGGGGATGCCGCTTGAGAGCCCCTCGAAGTTCACGACTAAACATCAAATTTGCAAAGTGGTCAAAACGTTGGACAGGTGTGGGCGGTCCTCGCCGAAACGGAACATTGCCTGAACACCTCGTTGAGGTCATACCCTTTTTGAGTGCTCCGAAGAGTCGCCAGAAGGACGCAACACACAATTCAGTTGTTTGACACGGGGTCTCGCCGGAACGGCAGGCCCGTGGGGTGCTGATCCTCAGGGGGGGCCGCTTCTGAACTGCAGAGCTCGTGGGGACTTGTGGAGAGGGGGCTGAGGACGGGAGGGTGCGTTGCAGCAACTGTGGTGCACCTGGGGCTTACTCTGGTCCACACTCTTCCTCCTCTTCCTCCTCATGACCTCCTGCTCCTCCTGCTCCTTGTCCACACTCTTCCTCCTCGTTTTCCCGCCCCCCTTCGTCGTCGCCCTCCTCTCTCCTTCTGCGCCTTCCCTCCCTGCTGCTTGTCCCTGTCCTGCTCCTCGCCGTCATCCTGGCCGTCGTCACCTTCCGCCTCCTCCCCCAGGCCCCCTCCGGCCGCTGCCTGCGTCCTCCTGCCGCTCCTCGCCCTCCTGCTCTCGATCCGCCGTGGCTGCCTTCGCCCGACATGCCAGCGAGGTGCGTGCGACTGCCGGAAGAGCGCGGCAGTCGCGCTCTTCGAGCTGCCGCCGTTCGCCGAGCGCGGACCGCCGATGAGGTTCCGCCTGCGCCTCCGCCTCGAGCCGGGCCTTGGCTCCCTTTTGCTCCTGGAGCTGACATGCAGCATGCGAAGATTGAAACTTGGCGGGGTCCGACAGCTGGGCAGGGCCGCCAGCCGACACCAGAACATGAGCCCGCGCCCATCTGTGGCGAGCGAGGAGGCGCCGATCAGGCTCCACATCTTGGCGAGAGACGCTGCGAGCGACAGGTCGAGCCCTCGTGGCTCGGGACACGACTGCACGGGCCTGCGCCGCCCACGTCGGGGCTCACGAGCGGCCCGCCCACCAGCTTGACGACGCAGCGCGCGCGGCAGAGCGTCGGCGGCCTCGCGGGCCTCAAAGTTGACTGCAGCGTCATGCTCAGCAGCGGGCTTGGGGAGGGGGGGGGGGGGTCCGGCGCCACGTGGCGAGGAGGGGAGGCAGGGGCGGGGGTTGTCCGCGTCAGCACGCGAGGGGCCTCAAGACTACCGCAGCAAGCGAATGGTCGCCCAGTCCGGACACGAGCGTTTTCTGAGGTTCACAGTGCCTCTCGCTGCGCTGACGACCTTCGCGAAGATCCAAAGGGGCGTGGCAACGAATAGCCTATCAACGCGGGCCTCCGACCTGGCCCCCTGGTGCCAGCATGTCGCAGCATCAATCGCGAGCTCAGTGAGCTGCTTCCAGATTTCCTTCCAGACCAGATTCCCCTCCCAGCTATGGCCGGGACTCAAATTGCCACCCCGCCATTGTGGGGCCCAGACGAATACGAAAGTAAAACGCGATGCAACAGGCAGGCTCCCGGAACCAGTTCCGAGACAGCAAGCTCAACTCCATGTGTCTCCTGAAGACTCACCAGCGCAATGGAACAAATAACGGCACTCGGTATGCGAAGGCGCCACCCCCTCGCAGCAACATCGCAATGACATAGAGCACGGGTGTTCCAGGTTACGACGTTGTGGCCGTCGGCCCCAGGAACGCGTTACCCGCGCCACTCGACCTTCTTTGCTTCGAAGAGGGACTTGCCAAGAGCGACCAGTGCAACGCAGTCCAAGCCCAAGTCGACGATGCACTTCTGGTGCCACTGCACCTGCGCGCAGTCATGAGGGGAGACGACGGCCTTGGAGAAAGCCCACCGCTGGTAAGTGAGCACTCCATCGAGCTTGCAGGAGGTGCGATACCGTACTTCCAGTCCAAACTTTGAAAGCTTGGCGACGTCGCACCGATTGTTGTCACGGCTGACATGCGCAAGGATGTCGCGATTGCCAACCGCGCGAACCGAGGACCTCCACTGCGTCCCGCTCCTCCGCAAAAACGCCTGACATTTACGAACGCGAGCCTGCATCGTCGCCTCAAGCAGCCCCTACATGCGAAGCGCGAAGTTGCGACCGACCTCAGGACCGTTGAGCTTAAGCCCCCCACGCGCTCCTGTTCCCCTTGCTCCGCCTCCATCCACTCCTCCACTTCCTCCTCCGTCTCGCCCCTGGGTCGCTGGGCAACCTGGGGGCCTTGCTGGGCAACCCGGGCGGACTCCCGCGACCTCTCCCGCCCCCTCCCGCTCTCTCGCCCCCACGCGTTCCTGCTCCTCCCGTCGCCTCTCGCTGCTCCCTCTCCTCCCGCTCGTCTTTCCCGCAGTTGGGCTTTCCCCGACGGGGCTCTTACTGGTTCGCGACAGGATCTGGTGGGTGCGGGGCCCTTCGTCGGAGGCGGCCCTCGGCGTTGCCCAGGGTTCCTCGGCAAGGCCTGGCGTTGGCGCCCCCCCCCCTGCGTTGCTCGGGGTTACAAGGCCAAGCAATGGCAAGCAGTGGCATGCAATGGCTACTAATGCCTAGCAACGTCCAAAAACACTTAGCAACGCCAAGCAACTTAATGTAACTCAATGCCAAACAATGCCACGCGATGCCAAATGAACCGCAATGCTAGGCAACGCCAAGCAATATCAAACAACGTCAAACACTGCAACCCAATACGCAGCAATGCCAGGCAGTGCCAAGCAATTCAGAGCACTGCCAGACAACACATCCAAGCATCGCTAAGCAACGCAACGCGATGCCAAACGCTGCCAACCAAAGCTTCACATCGCATTCATCTGCATCTCTCACATCTTCTTTGCACTGCTTTGGGATACGCCATCGTGTCTACACTAAGTGGGCGTGTTAGAATGCTCGTCTGCTGGCTGGAAGGTTCTTTACATGCTTTCTACTACTAGGGCCGCCTCCCCCTCCCCCCTACTCGTGCGCATCGTTAGAACATCGCCTCCCCTGAATTAGTGGAGCTATTTTCGGCCTCTAGACGGCCAAGATGGCCTCCAAGACGGCTTCCAAGACAGCCAAGATGACACCAAGACGGCCCAAGATCATTCAAGAGGCTCCCAAGACGGCCTCAAGACTGCCCAAGAGGCCCCAAAGACGGCCCAAGAGGGCTCCAAGAGGCCCTCCAGGAGAGCCCGAGGAGGCAAGCATCTTTGCGTTTTCCCAGGCGTTTGAAGGACGTTAAGGTTCTCGCCTGGTTGGATTTGCGGCCGCCCAAGTGGGCCCAAGATGTCTCCAATCTATCTCTTAGACAGCCGAAGAGGCCCCCAAGAGGGCCTGAAGTCAGCCCAACAGGCCACCAAGAGGCCCCCAAGAGGCTCCAAGAGGCTCGCAAGAGGCACCAAAGATACTCCAAGAGGCTCTGAAGACCGCCAAGAGGCCCCCAAGACGTTCCACACAACTTCCAAGAGTCCCCCAAGGCGCCCGTGAAGGCCCCCCAGAGCCGCCAGGAGGATTTTGAGACGCCCCAAGAGGCCTCCAAGAGATCCCGAGAGACATCCAGAGAGACCCGGGGACGCATCTCATAAGCCTCTAGCCCACGGAGGCCCCCAGAGCTCTCCAAATGATGCCACGCTCCCCTGATAAGGGCAGCTCCCCTGGGCTTCGTTTCTGGATGTGCTGGTGGGGATATACGAAGCGTTAAGAATTCAACCTCCTTCCCGCTGCGCTGTTGCACAGGCACGGTGGCGGGGTTTGCCGCAGGCATCTGGATAAAGAAGACAACCCCAAATTGGAGACGCGCTGGGTTTATCTTATTGCGGGCACGTGGAGCTCGAACGTAACGATTGCAGGGTGCTTCTGGGCCAGTTCTCGGTTCGAGGGCTTGTGCTGGTGCTACGATAAGAGTCGTCTGCCCCTCTTGTCCTCCTCGTCCTCCTCCTGCTCCTGGCCCCTTGGTTCCTACACCAACTCCCGCCCTCTTACCTCCTCGCGCTTCTGTCCCCATCTTCATCCTGCTTTTCCTGGTCCTTCTCCTCCTCCTCCTCCTCCTCCTCCTCCTCCTCCTCCTCCTCCTCCTCCTCTGCCTCCTCCTCCTCCGCCTCCTCCTCCTCCTCCTCCTCCTCCGCCACCCTGTCCCTCCACTGCTCCTCGCCTCCTCCTGGCTTGCCAAGCCCTCGCTTGCTTGTTCCCTCTGGCCCCTCGTTGCCGCTCGCCTCTCCAGAGAACCTGTGGGGGGGGCCAGGCGCCAGCCAGTGCCCAGATGCAGTCCCCACGCCCTCCTCCCCCCCCAGCAGGAGCATGAGGTCAGGCGGGCTTGCGTCTCGGCGGGCTGCCTGGGAGAGCAGGCCAGATCTAGAGGCCCCCAAGAGTAAATGGGGTCGGAGGATCGCGCCGCATCGCCGAGGCATCGCCGAGGCATCGCCGAGGCATCGCCGACGCATCGCCGATGCATCGCCGATGCATCGCCGATGCATCGACGATGATCGGTGACGTCGGCGATGCGTCGGCGACGCTGGCGCAGAGAAAGTCGGGCTCCAAACCGAGCCGCGTCCCAGATGCATCGGCGATGCGGCGCGATCCTCCGACCCCATCTGCTCCGACACCACCTGGGAGGCCTAGAAGATCGGCACTGCAAGCTTCATCCCTCCTCCTCCTCCTCCTCCTCCTTCTCTGCCTCCTCCTCCTCCTCCTCCTCCTTCTCTGCCTCCATTTCTGCTCTGCCTCCTCCTCTGCCTCCTCCTCTCCTCCTCCTCCTCCTCCTCCTCCTCCTCCTCCTCCTCCTCCTCCTCTCTCCTCCTCACTCCTCCTCCCCCTCCGCCCCCTCATCCGCCAGGCGGGCGGCGGGCCCACGGCTCGGCGGCGCCCCTTGGCGAGACGAGGGCGGCAAAGCTGGCGCCGCGCGGCGGCGCCTCGCTCCCGCTGGGGGGGGGGGCCCGGGGGTTAGGATGGGGCAAGAGGATCAGGGAGGTTCGAGGTCAGACCCTCGAACCTTCCTCCTGGCGAGGTTCGAGGTTCCGGGATCAGGTTCACCGATCGTGGATCAGGATGAGATAGAGCAGGTCCGAGGATCGAGGGTCAAGCACAAAGATCGGGGATCGAGCCCTTTTCCTCCTGCTCCTCTTCGGCCGGCGCTCTGCGGCTCTGAATGTGATCTGAGCGGTTTCGGCCCACATTCCTCTTCCTATATTTTTATAAGCCCGGGCGGGGGGAAAACCCGTCCCCCCCCCCAAAAAAAAACCGAACTCCCGGGATCTTGGGCTTTGGAACCCTCCGGACGGGCCTCGAAGCGGCCCCCCAGGCCTCGCAGGGCGTTTTGACAAGCCTTCGCAGCACACCTGGGGCGATCAGGGGGGTCATCGGAGACGTCCCAGAGACCCCCAAGACAGCACAAGAGCGCTCCAAGAGTGACCGACGTGACCTCAAGATAGCCCAGGAGGCCTCCAGGACGGCCCCAAAGAGGCCTCCAAGAGCACTGCCAAGAAGGCCCCAAGAGGCACAAATCATTAATTTTGGGGTTCTCCTCTTTTCGGCTTCCCGACGCTCCAAGACGGCGGTCTTCTGGGCGTCCGAAGCCGCCTGGGAGGCTCCCAAATCGCCCCACAAACATCCGAAAGGGCTTCCAGGCAGTCCAAGAGAGCCCCAAAACGGCACAACACGGGTCCAGGATGGCCCTGAGAGAGCCCCATGGCGGCCCAAGATGGCCCCAAGACACCCTCCGAAGCATTCCAAATCGTGACCCGGTCGTTCAGGGAGACCGCGGTTGGAGACAGGGTGGCCCGAGGAAGCCCCCAGAGGCCCCCAGAATACACCCAGGAGGCCTCCTGAAAGCATTAAGAAAGCCTGAAACAACTTTTGTGAGGCCCGCATAGGCTCTCCAAGGAGGAGCCTCCGCAATAAAGAGCTGAGGTGGCGCGAAGCGCCACTGCAGTCTTGTGTAAATATATATATATATATATATATATATATATATATCAGTTCAACGTGAGGTCGAATCCACTCATGATGTCGCTTCTGATACTTGCGATCGGACGTCAAAGTAAGCTGTCTTGTGTCGGTCTGACGAAATGCGGAGTACGTGTCTCCTATGAGTGTTCAGCACCCTCTCCCTCTCCCCGACACAGAACGTTTGCATCAACCATGTGCTCCAAAACAACAGCATCAACGACCAACCAGATATTCAATCTGATTCTACGGAGTGACTCATCCGAGTCTGTGACGCGCCGCCACTGGTTCCCATACTTCCAGTAAGCGAATACTGGCACTTCTCCAGTCCAAGCTGGTGGCTTCTTGCGGTCAACTGTACACCGCGGACAGTTTACTGCTCATTGGCCGAACGTGTGGCCTCGCTGTTGACCTTGTGGGGCATGCGTGGATGTACTGCCATTGTTCCAGTCGCGGATTTCGTCGTGGCACTGAAAAGCTGGATCGTTCCAAGGTGGTCCTCCTTCATAGCCAGCGCAATCACCATACTGAGCCGAGTCAGTGACACTCGGTCCGCTACTACATGCATCTGGCATTGCATAATTGTCCCCGCCTGGAAGCTACCTTCTTAGCCGTTTGCGTGCAAAGGTTCTCCCGTATCTGATCGCCATGCCAAAGGCCATGTATGAGAGTCGCACGGACTGGTTCGATAACACACGTTATATCAGCCAGAATGGGGGATGCCGAATTTATTATTCCCTTTGGCTGTCTGCACTCTTGGCAATGGCTCCAACAAGCGATCATAGCCATAACTGATATGTCGCCGCACCGTTCGTCCTCGACGCGCCCAAGTGGACGACGCCGACACCACCGCAAACCCACGGCGAGCCCTGCGCCCCGCGCCCCAAGTCGGCAAAGACGGCAGCGCGGCAAACCCACGGCGAATCCACCGCGCCCGAGGCGGCGTCTGCACTGGTGCCCGAGGCACCCTCCTCAAGACGGAAGGCCGCGCGTCGGAACAAACGGCGCTGCGACACATGGCGATGACCCTGAAGAGCTAAGCTCCACATGCTATCTGCAGATCGAGCTGACGCACCTGCGCGAAGCACCACTCCTCCCCCTCGCCCGATCCTCCAGGCCAGCTGGCGCAGGCTGCACCGGCGCCGCCTCGCCCCCCGGAAGGACGGCGAAGGCCGCGTCGATGGCCAGCGAGCCCTGCGGGCAGAGCGGAGAGCGGGGATCGCCCAACGCCTTCTAAGTGTGAGAAGCAATTATCGGCTCCCCCCCTCCCGAAGCAAGTCTATCACTTCCGCCCCTGGAAATGATCCCCCTTGTCCACAGTTTCGGGGGCGCCAGGCTCGTCCCGAACATCCATTTGTATCCCGACTTGCGGCCATATAATCAAAACGTCTCCGCTGTCCTGGCACCAGAACTTATGCGGCTGGTCCTCCCGAGTCTGAACTCCGCCTGCTTCGGGCCCCGGGGGGGCCCACAGAAAACGGCCCACGACGCGAGGTGCGGAAGAGAAGGTCGACGGCGCCCAAGGCCCACATATTACCAATTTCGAGAGGTCGGGAATCTGGGCAGGCGAAATTGAGCCGAAGTCGGGATCCCGAGACAAAACGCGGCATGAAAGCGGGGCGCAACTGTCCTGCCGTTGACCCTTGAGGGACAGCTGGGCAAATCTGTTCGCAAGGGAATGTTGGCTGTAGACGTTTTTCGGTCCCGGCGCGAGGTGCGCAGAAAGCATGAGCGAAGCGGGACAGGACCAGGATGGACAGCAAGTGAGATCTGCCGCTTGCGTTCCGAGCCAGAGGCCTGGCGCTGCCAGGCCGGCGACGAGCGAAACTCGGCTACAAATTCTTCCGTTGCGCCAGAAACGTACGACATCCTGGCTGTGGCAAGGCGGGGGCGGGGGCAAGCGCCTGTCCTCAGAAGGCAGACCCGGCCAGAAACTCTACAGCGTCTTGGGACTTTGGACCCTAGCGCGGTCCCTGGGGCTAAACATGTCGGGAAGAGAGGTTCGGAGAGGGGGCGTGTTTCTGGGGTTCTACACAATGCCGCAAGGCTGACCCGCGATCATTTCGGTCCATTGATCGGTCCACAACTGTTCAGCTCTGCGCATGCGTGCCCCGGCCCTCCACAGCGCTACCTCCCAGCCGTGGAGCGCAAGGAGTAATCAACGCCCCAACACCAGGGCGCGGGGCGCCCCAGGCGGCGGGGCAGGGTGCTGAGATCGCCCTGGAATCTGGGGGCATGTCGGGTCCCGCTGGGGCCACCTCCAGGGGCTTTCTGCGCGCACCCCCACCAACTCGGGGGCGTCCAAGAGGGAGGCGTCCAAGAAGGGGGGGTGCAAATCATGGCCAGCGGCATGTGTGCGGCCCAGGGGGGGGGTGTCCGAGGACGCATTGAAATAGGAAGAGGCGCCATGAAATCCGGGGAGATGTCATGGCCCCCGCCATGATATCCACCCGCCCCCCGAGTCATGACACCCCTCGTGGCCGCCCCCCGGCAGCGCCTTGCCACCTCTGCTTCCTGGCAACTCACACGGCCTCACGGGCCTGGAGCTCTCGTCCCAGCCTGGCCACGCAAGCTCGCCCACCGTGCCGGCCCACGACGGCCCCGAGGACCGGGCACGCTGGTCGCCGAGGCCCGCCGACGGCCGCCGCCTCCGAATTGCGAGGGGGGCGTGCGTGAGTATCGCGCTCCTCGCCCTCCTCCTTCGGGAAGGAGCAAGGGTATCCATGGCGCACCTTCGGCAGGAGCCTGTCAGCTTGTTACTCCTCTGTGCTTGCCCCAAGGCAATGTATCCACGAAAGCGCTGATGAGATCCCCCGCAACCGTGTCATTGATACTGCTTTTGCTCCCCCACTCCTCCTTCTCCCCTCCCCCCCGCCAGTTCTCTCACTCCCGCCGCAGAGTGGCGCCATGAATCCCACCAGCCCTTTGAGCGACAGGTGGTCTGCGAAGGGTTTCTTTCCTCTTCCACAACCCCGCTTCCCTTCGGGGAGGGAAACCCTCCCCCTCCCCTCCCTGAGGTTTTTTCGGAGGGGTCGCGCGGTGTCGGAGGCTCCTTTTTCGGCCCCTGGGGGGGGGGGGGGGGCGGCGGCAATTTCTGACACCCCTCACGAGAATCGTTGCCCCCGAGGGGGGAGGGAAATCGAGGACCCCCCCCCACTTTTGACCGAGCGCCACCCTTCCCCCTCCCCTCCCTGAGGTTTTTTCGGAGGGGTCGCGCGGTGTCGGAGGCTCCTTTTTCGGCCCCTGGGGGGGGGGGGGGGGCGGCGGCAATTTCTGACACCCCTCACGAGAATCGTTGCCCCCGAGGGGGGAGGGAAATCGAGGACCCCCCCCCTCTTTTGACCGAGCGCCTCCAAGATGGCTCCAATAGGCCTTCCATGGCTCCCAAAAGGCTCCCAAGAGGGCTCCAAGAGCACCCCAAGAAGCCCCAAGAGGCCTCCCAGAGGCACCCGAGAGGCCCCCGAGCGGCTTCAGAGCCCAAGATGACTCCCAAGATGGCTCAGATGACCCACGCTGGCTCAAGATGGCTCCCAAGATGCTCCAAGTGGCCCCAAGACCGCTCCAAGACGGCTCGAGATGGCCACGGAGCCTCCCAAGCCTCCCTCGCTGCTTGACTATGCGTGTCTCTTCCTCTCTCCCCCCGTCAACTCTCATGGGCATCGTTTCTGGATGGGCTGGTGTGGATACTTTTTTCGGTCGCGTCCGCTAGCGAAGGCGCAGGCGGAGTCAGAAGCTGTCCGGGGCGCGGAAACAGGCCTAATTAGCTACTGGGCGCGCAGCAGGCCGGCCGGCCGGGCCAGCTCACAAAGCAGCTGTTGTGCCGCGCGGCGAGGCTGACAGGCTGAGGGCACCCAGGGAAACTCGGGCAACGTGCAGTCTGACAAAATGCCAAGAAATTCTGTGTACGCCATGCGGCGTGAACCACTCAGAGAGCGCGAGAACGTACGCGTAGATGCCTACACGCCTCACACGCCTGGAGGTCGCACAGGCGAGGTGAACGATGAACGAGTCGCCAGCGGGGCGCCAAGTCCAGCGCCGTACCAACGGTGTATGCAAGCTAGGTGGGCTAAGCTGCCGAGGTGACGTCGAAAACCTGCCTGAATGGCTGGAATGGGTCCAGGGGAAGCGCAGCGCCTGACGGAAGGCTAAACCACTCCGAAGCGACCACGGGGCTCCCAAGGCCCACCATCCCGAGCACGTGGAGCGCCGGCCCTGTGGTGAACCCTGAGGGCCTGGCCCCAGTCACCCGCTGTCAAAGCGTGGTGAACGTCGCACTGAGTGTGACAGGCCAGGCTGGCGGGGATGAACATTGCCAGCGTGGCAGAAGAATCCAGGGAGGAGCTGCACAGAGAACGATCACCCAGGCGATCCAGGGGTACGTGAACCGGGCAGCCCGCCCTGCCTGGGAGGGATCCGAGGGGAGGGCCGGTGGGGACAGACATCACTGGCCCTCCAAGCGGAGGGGCTCACCAGGGACACCTGGCGAAGGAGGGGGGCATGGGGAGGGCCGAAGCCTTGGCCCGAAATCCAGGGATGCAGCTAACGGCTGCTCAGGGTTTGGGAGAGGAGGGTGGTGCACCCCCAGGGTAGGCGCAGCCTGCAATGGGTCTGGGTCTGCAATCGGTACAGTCGGCCCGCCAGCAATGCAGGTCGCGCAACGCCTGCCAGCGCGCCGGGGATACCAGGGGTGCAGCTAACGGCTGCTCAGGGATGAGATGGTCCAGAGGGGCCGTACCTGCCGCAGCGAGAGTGGCCAGCCTCTCAACGGCTGCCTCGTCTCTCCGTCTCAGAGTGCACGACTGCAACGGCACGGGGCTGATTTCTCTTGCTACGCGGCCGCCCTGTCCCAGTGGCGGACTGATCCAACCCTACGCCTGTGGCGCGCCAAAACTGAGACCCTCACTGGGCCTTACCCGTGCATGCATCCAGTCTGGAGGGAGGGGTAGCTGGGACGGCTCCTCTCCAGTCCGGGGTGCCGCGGAGGCCGTCTGCCATCTTAGGGCAGCCGTTTCCAAGGCGGCCGAGGCCTCTACAGACGTGAGCCAGTCGTGGCCCAGGGGCGCAAGGGGGGGGGGTGAGATGCGTCGGGCGCCCGAGGGGGGGATAGCCCCGACGGCGCGCCCGAAAAGGTAGCGGGTGGGCGGCGGGGTGTACGCTGCCCACGCGCCTCTTTCCAGCCTTTTTTTGATTCGCGGCCCGCAAGGAAAAGTCCAGAGGGCGGTCTGACTTGAATCTTCACAATCTCTGAATGCAGTGTGACTGGAAAAGTCCAGGGGTGTGGATACTCTCTCTCTCTCTCTTTTTTGTTGTTTTACAGCCGCAGGCGGAAGCGCCGGCGGCGAGCAGTCACGGTCGGGCTGCGGCCGCGACTAAATTCCCGGGCGCGCGCGGGTCCGCGGATCAGGCGGCAAGCAGCGGCAACCCAGGGCGTCTGACGGGCCAGGCGGTCGTGCCATCCCGGGGAGTCTGAGAGGTCAGCAGCCTGAGAGGTCGTGCAAGCTGCAGCCCAGGGAGTCTGAGAGGACAGCCCTCCGGGCGAGCCAGGCGCAGCCAAAATGGCGCGCCGTACGCTCCAGGCCGCGGTCGTGTCGAGACCACCGCGTGGTAGGGAACGATCTCCGTGCGAGAAGTCCATCCAGGGAGTCTGACGGGTATGAGCAGACAGAAACTGGAGACGTCATCCAGCAGGAGATGGATTCTGACAGCGCCAGCGAACCGTCGCAGCATCAGAAAGCGCATCCTCGCAATAGGGAAGCCAAAGACAGAGGAGTCAAAGCCAGACCCGACCGCTGCAGAGCGATGCGCCTGCGTTCAGAGGACCAGCGGTCACCTCAGGACGCAGCACGGTACAAGGGTAGCCACTCTGCGACGCGAGGTCGCTCGAGAGTGGGCGTGCACCGAACAACTATGTGACGTAACGCCGATCGACTGACCCAACCACGTGGGGGCGCTCGGAAGGACAACGACCGTCGTATACCCAAGACAGCAAGTCCCTCACAGTCACAGAGTCCCAGGGAGGGGTGTGGACACGCGAAGCGTCATGAATCTTAACAATCTGCCTATTCGCCGATGCGCTGTCTGAGCGCCGGGCTTCAAGACTCCTCCTGCCCCCTCGCTGGGAGGCCGCTGCCAGCAATTGGGCCCGAGCATTTGTGATCGGAGGATCGCGCCGCATCGCCCAAGCATCTCCGATGCATCGGTGACGTCGGCGCGGAGAAAGCCGGGCCCCACCTCGACTACACGCAAGAGCGACCCCAGGCAAGAGTGGCTTTTGGCGCGCGGCTTTTCGGGGGGCGCGGGGGGGGCCAAATCCGAGCGCGCAAGCCAACATCTGGGGGGCCCAGTGTGCCCGCACCAGAGGCCACTCTGGGGAAAGGTCACTCTCACGCGTAGCACATCCATTCACATCGACCCGCGGCGCGATCCACCGACCCCACCCGTCGGGGAGACGTAAGACTCGTTCGGGGGACTCGGGTTGGCCTGACGGGGCCATCATTAAAATGACGCGATCCAGCCTGAAATTTGTCTCGAGCTCGCGCTGCAGACATCCTACGAAAACTGGACAGTCAAACTCCAGGACGGGCTCGTCAGAAAGCGTCGGCAAACTCGAGTTCCAAGGCACTCGAGTCTTACCTTTACCCACACCCGCATCGACCCCCCTCGGGCGGCCAGGACCGCTGCCGCCAGCCCGGCCAGGCGAGAAAGGCCCAGACCGCGACCCGCGCACACATGGGCTCAGCGCGCGCCGCTCTTTTCCAGGGGCGGAGCGGCGCCGGGCGGTGGCCGCGGGGAGCGCGGCTCTTAAGACGCAGCCAGGACGATGACAACATCGGAGGAGGATAAAACGGAGGAGGAAGGGGGGGGAGGAGGAGGAGGAGGGGGAGGGGGAGGAGGGGGAGGGAGGGGGAGGAGGAGGGGGAGGGAGGGGGAGGAGGAGGGGGAGGAGGAGGAGGAGGAGGAGGAGGAGGAGGAGGAGGGATGAGGATGAGGATGAGGATGAGGATGAGGATGAGGATGAGGATGAGGATGAGGATGAGGAGGATGAGGAGGAGGGATGAGGAGGAGGGCGAGGATAAATGGGACGAGGAGGGCGAGGAGGGCGAAGAGGAGGGACGAGGACAAAATCGGACGAGGATAAATCGGATGAGGCTACATGGGGGGGATAAAGGTGCACTCTTCGGGCCCTGAAAAGGCCCCCTCTGGGGCCCCCAAAAGGACCCCTTTAGGAACCCTAATTAGAGGGGCCTTTTTCTGCAGCCTCGCTGCACCCCTCTTGATCGCCCCCCATTGCGCGACGCCCAGTAAATCGAGAATCTCTGAGATCTGGCGGCTCTGCAGGATGTCTAGCCCCGCCCGAGCTCTCGCGGAGGAGGGGCGGGCTGGTCCATCCCTTGGGGAGCGACGGCGGCCCACCTCGCAGAGGCCCTGGGTCCAGGCCACTGCCGGGGCCAGGGAGCACAACTCTTCATTGATCGAAGGCTGCCCGATCGAAGCAACTCATCCTAGAAGGCTGTTGGAATCCGGTGTGTGAACGACTGTGCGGGAGGGGCGCGCCGCCGCACAACACAGTAGAACCACTGCTGAGAGCTGCCCTGAGAGGCAGGCGGACCTGCTCCCAGTGCGCCCCGAGGAACACCTGTCAGGGCTACCTGGGCAGGCAGTGCAAAACGGGACCATGCGGCCATGTTGTGTGCTACGCCCTGCATCTTGCGCGGGCGATGGAGCATGGTTTTCTTCGCGCCCCCGCGCCGCCCAATCGGAGAGAAACAGCTTTCTGGCTCAAGCCGTACAGCGCAGTTGTCTTCGCGCCCCTGCGGGTGACCCTGTATCCAGGACGGGAACCAGCTACGGACCATGGCCGTGGGCTCTCGAGACAATCTAATTGCGCTCGGCCGCCGCTTCCATAACAACGTCTCTAAGGCTCGGGGATGAATCTCCACAACTCCTGATCCTCTGAATTCTTCGGGTGCCCCCATCACAAAGATGAAGAACATGAGGAAAACATGGAATAACAAAACGAAAAGAATAATGCTGGGGTCGCGGAAACATCAAGAACAAACAACGAAATATCGAACGTGCGCTTGGAACCGTAAACTTCCGATCCGATCGGCTGCAAGCATGGGTTGCAGATCTGTTTGGCAACGCAGTCGGTGAGGTAGTCCTTCAAGCCGCGATGCTGCACCAATACGCCTCTATCGAGCGGATCGTGCAGCGTCGCGCTCGAATGGAAAAGCGGCCAAGACATGCGTCCCACGCTCGCGCACCACAACCTTCACAATTGAACGCTGCAGTGCGCTTGCGTGGGCCTGACCAGCACGCAACAGGGATTTGAAACATCTTCAGAGCTACTTGCAACACGCCATGGCACAATGCCGTCTTTCACGGCCCGTGGCAACCCGTGGCTGAGCTTGAACGGCCGTCTTGCCGTGGGGCTGCGACTAGTATCGTGCCGCAGGGGCTGCCCCAAGCGGACAACGAGCGCGTGCCCCTGGCATGGAAGAGTCCAACACTGATCACTTGAGAGGTGTACGTAAGAGACCAAGCTCCCCCCCAGAAGAACACCCTGTCTTCTGGCTCGGCTAAGCCGTACACCTGGACCGGCCCGCTGGTCGAGCCCGAACGGTCTAAACCTTGGCCCTCCTTGGGCGGTCGTCCTTGAACAGGGCATCGTCCTTCCGCAGGGTGATGCTCCTGTCCAGCCTGGACGCTGCGCGCCTCCCGCTGGCGGAGGCTGCTCGCCCTGGGCTGGGGCTGCCGCCTCGCCCCGAGGACTGCTTGGGCTGCTGGCGACCTGGCGATGCGGGGCGGCCCGGCGAAGCGGCGGCAGGCGGCCGCGACTCCGCCAAGGCGCTCGCGAGAGCGCCGGACCACCTGGCGAGGTCGTCCTGGTCGGGGCCGACGTGCACGCCGTGCGTCTTGCCCGCGCACTTGAGGAGGAAGCCTTGATCGACGAACCCTAGCGCCTGGCAGGTCGACGTGGTGATACGGATCGGTGGGCAAGCGCTGCGGAGTTGGCCGGCAATGGCAGCCTCCTTGCTGTCCCATGCGTCCAGGCGGTCGGCGAAGAGCATGGCGTACCGCCACTGCAACGTGCCCTGCACGCTGAATCCCAGCCGCCCCTGGCACCTGGGCAGCTCCTCAGTAGGGGAAGGAGAATGATCGCGAGTAGGAGTGGAACGGGTATCAGCGGGATATGGCCAGAAGTAAGTAGGAGGGGACACGAGTCGAATGAGCAGGAATATGAGCAAGACCAGGACTGACAAGACCATTTCGCCAGATCGAACGAGTCAGCGGGCCCAGCCCATTCGCACACTCCCTCCTGCAATTAAAAGTCAATGCCTGTGTAGCTGGAAACGAAAACTGCCGCGTGCTCCCATCTCGCGAACGGCAGGCGCTCGCGCAAGTGCGGCCCTGTTTCCAACGAGTTGGCGAAAGAAAACAAGCGCCGCGCTCATCGGAAACACAACTCTGGATAATCCTGGATCTGGGACGGAATCCACATTCGGCTCGCTGGTGCGCGTCTCAAATGCCAATGGGCTTGGCGATCGGAAAACATGCACAGTACCCAAGCAGGACCGCAGCTCTAAAGAAACAACTGCGCGGCGCTGGGGCGAGTGACATTCCGCTCCCTCTCTCTCTCTCTCTCGCACGCTGCGCCGACTCCGACGATAAGGCGAACAACAAAACGTGCTGCGCCAAAGTGGGTGGCCAACGTCAAAAGAATAATCAGTGCGGCGCTGGGGTGGGGACAAAACTTCGACCTTTCTTGCGCGATGTGCGCCACGTCCCATTCCCGACCATATCTTCCTAGCATCGACGCCAAAACTTCACGATTGAGTGGAAAGGAGCGGACTTTGAATGTGTTCTTGATGGAATAGAGCGGAAGGGCCCGCTTATGGTCCATTTGGGGGGGGGGGGGGCAGGCCAGGGCGTGGGAGTATATACACATACGGAATATGAATGGGCGTACGAATAAGAGGGCGATCCCTTTTTTCAGAAAGAACTGGGAGTATGAGTACGGGGGTATGTCGCAATACGAGTAGGGCTGAATGAACATAGACAACTCAAGGGGGCCAATGAGCCTCGCCCACTAATTACAACCCTCCCCCGGAAACAGTGGGACCAGCTTCGTAGCAACCCGACAGAAGTATGTGCACGGCGTCAGGCCAGTTTGATGCGTGGACTCCCACGCGAAGGACCACGACGTGGCACGTGCTCGCACGATCGGGAAAGCCTGCATGGTTGCTGCACCCCCATCCTGGAACCTGTTCTGCGCGTGTGAAGGTTCGGGGCGCCCCATACTTGCACATGGGCAAGCCAATGCCAGCTTGCCGCCTGGCCAGCCTCCCATGGACTTGGCGCAGGAGAGGTTTGCCGCGTTCGCGCGGGAACGCAGCTTCCAAGAAGCATGCCCAAACAATCCAGCGAGAACATCGTTTCGCTTTCTCGTGTGCGATGTGTGGCGCGTCCCGCTCCTGCCACACATTTTTCTAGCTGAATTGCAGAAGACCCGCGCTGAAAGAGAAAACGCAATATCTGAACTCCCACACTCGGCCTACTGACGTGGGGTCGAACTTCTTGTCGCAAGCCTTCCGCACATCACATGTTCCTGTCTCCCCCGCCTTCTCTTCGAGGTACCCGGCGGTATCCCGACAAAAAACCCGGAGGGAGGCGCATGGAGGTCGCCAGAGGCCTCTGGAGGTTCAGGAGGCCCAAACATGGCTGACAACTACCGAAACATCTACCCTGGATCCTCGGATGCCGTCTCCTTGCCATCAAGTGCTATCTCCGTCATTATCATCACCACCACCATCACCATCATCATCACCAGCATCATCGCCATCACTAGCATCATCATCACCAGCATCATCATCAGCATCATCAGCATCATCATCATCATCATCATCATCATCACCAGCTGCATCATAACAAACAACTTTCCTCACAGTCGTCTTCGTCATCATCTTCTTCACCATCAGCATCATTACGATCATCACCATCATCAGCATCAGCATTATCAGCATCATCATCGTACCTGTGCCCAGAAGGGCCCCCCAACTATGGGCCCAATGGTCGCGGACGCGGACATACAATGATCAGACACTTCTGGCGCACCACTCGGAAGTTTCGTGCTCCACAAGGACCCCCAACTACTGCCCCAATAGACACGGGCGCTTTCGAGAACCTGACTGTTCTGGCGCACCCATCATACTAGGGAGCCCCAACTACGCGCATGGGGACTGGGCCTCTCTGGTGCGACCTCATCCGTGAACCATGAGGAGCCCAGTAAAGGACCCAACACGCACGGACGCTTTGAAGGACCGAGTCTTTCTGGCGCACCAATCACGTTTCGCGGCCCCCAGGAGGAGCGCCCATCCGCGAGAGGCCCCCAAGACTGCATATACTGTTTTCAAACATACGCCCACGGAGAATCCTTACTGCGGCTCTTACGCCCGCTCAATCATGATATCGGGTGCCTTGCCCGCTGGAACGTTGATGCGTGGTAGAGTGGTAGGTGCTGTCTACACGGGTCTCTGCAACCTTCGATGGCGCCCACCCCCCCTCCCTGTAGCTCCAGTTACATGCATCGCGCTCCCCACCCCCCCCGCCCCGCTCCTGCCGAGG